ATTACCAAGTAGTATTTAAGTAGGGCAGCTCTCGCTGGTAACCCCCAGCTTTGAGCTAAAGTTTATATTCATACCACTCTACTCTCGAGCCACTCTGTGGCCTTGTGACACACCGAGTCGATAACATCATAAGTGGATTCAGGTGATCCCTCGAAGTGCGAAGGGATATCTGTCTATCACATGTTGTCTTGTCATGTGTCGCTTGGGCTTAACACAAGGGTGGCCAACTCAGCCTTCTGTCATTGCCATTCCTTGTATATCATAGTGATTCTGTCCTTCCATTTGTTATATCCGATGGGTATGCCATGTCTGATATCTGAGATGATCATTAGATAGGAGGTCAGTACTCCCATCTTCATGTATTTGACTATTTGTCCAGTATTGGCAATATCATCCTATACACTGGCAAGTCTGCTGAGTCATTCCAACTCATCAAAGTAGTCTGTAGCCAGTTTACCAGCCATCTTAAAGTCCTTCATCTTCTGCTTGTAGACTTCTTAGACTATTAGATCAGTGAACTTATTGATGATCATTTGTTTGAAGACTGGCCATGAGAGGTATCAGTGATGGATTCTGGTAGTGGACCAGAAGGTCAGAGATATTAGAACCCACCATGTTTTGGCTTTGTCTGCTATGTGAATTGTGGTGAATATCACTTTGTACATATCAGCCAGAAAGTAGGAGATGAACACCTGAAAATATTGGTCACAGTCAACCAGAAAATGATCAATATCATCTGATGCTCTCTTGAAGAGGTAGGGTTCAGATATGAGAACTAGTTTGACTTGAAGAATTTAAGCCCCTATATCAAGAGTAGGCATTGAATTTGGAAGTCCTCCATCGGATAGTCCCACCCAGCCACTTGAGGGTCCTGGAAATGAGTGTAAAGAGCCATCATCAGCAATGAGGCTTTCTGGTGGTAGTGCTTTCTTTCACACAATTCACCCATTCTTAACAGTCCAGCCTTGTGCTATTGCCATATGATCATCTTCTATGGGAATAGGCTCTTCTAGTGCTTTTCTCCTGCTGTCCTCAGCTTCGTCTGGTGGTGGTTGTCTGGCAAAAGACTGCTGAATTGATATCCTCTATGGGTTTGGATAATGAGAGCTCGGCTGAGGGTGGCTTTGAGAAAGCCGAGATGCCATGCTGCAGATGGCTGAGATTGCAAATGAATATCTTGATGACATCATTTGGATTATGGGTGCTATATTGGCCAGCTTAGATGGCACAACACTCAGCATCCATGGCTTTGGCATAGTGCTGTATTTCAGTCTGTATAGTAGCAATGCCTGCATCTGATATTCTAAATATCTTTTATTGTAAATAAAAATGGCTTGCTCAGTGGCCACATATTGTAAAATTTCTGCCTGCTTGATATGATCAGTGGCAGTATATCTTTGTCCCATAGGCAACACCAACCAGGTGTCATCTGTCTATAAGGTAGTTGTACCTTCTCGGTACAACTCTATGAAGTCTTTTTGACACACCTTCTATGCTAATTCTTTCTGCTTCTCTTCATGCATTTGTATATTCTATAAGCTGACCCAGTCAGTTGGAGGATTCTCGACTATCTTGTTAAAATCCTCCCCCCCCTCATTGTCCATGTCTCTGCTAGTGGTCTCACTGCCTATATTCCCCTCAAGGAGGGAACTGTCATATAGGTCATAGATCTCTGAGATAGCCATGCTGAGGCTGCATGCTGGATCCAGCATCATCGGATCCAGGTCAAGGAGTAGGCTGCTACTTAAGCTGTTCTTGCTGCTCCTCATTGCCCCTCTTTGTTGCCACCACTATTGCTCTGTAATACTGGCAGAAGTTTCTGTAGAATCTTAGATTGAGGAAGAGGGTGGTGAAGTTCCCATCAAGAAATCTCTGAATGTCACCTGTGGAGTCGATGCTTTCATTATCCCCTCCAATGGTTCTCTGCTCTGCTGGTATTCCATCTCTCCTGATGAGGATATCATCAGTCTCTGCAATGGTATCAGTCTCATAAGATAACAGGCAGTCATTGTTAAGGTCAGGCATTCTATGGATCTCGACGATCTCTGGTGTTACCCAAGGGTCAGACTCACTGGTGGGAGTGGGAGGTTCCCAGAATGGAGGGTTGAGTATGCTGTTGGTGGTAGTACCAATAAGCATACTAGTCCTGTTACTTTCCATGTTCCTTCTTCTTTCTTCTGCTGCTTGTGCTTGGAGATACCACCTAAAGAGGGCATTCTCCCTCATGATTTCATTGTCGATATGTGCCTGCTCCTCAAGGTACTCAGAAATATTTTTGGGATGTTGAACTTGGTCCTCTCAGAGGAGGACTGGGTCAGCATTTTGGATTGGTTGTGCTGTTTTAGATACCTCTTGTGTGCCTTCTGTTTGGCCAGTATTACCACCAACTGCATAACACTCCAACTGATCAGCCTCTCTGGCAGCAGCCTGCCACTAGTGGCACTCATCATTGTTGTCATTGAAATAGGGGTCATTATCAACCTCTGTTCTGTGATCAGTGCTTCTGCTTCATATTGATGTAGTGTGTTGGGACTTATGGTCTCTGGGATTTCCAATCTTTTGAGCCACCCATGGGGTATCCAGAGAGTCTCTAGCATAGCATCCAATGCCAGTGCTAGAGACAGAGGATGTTGTCCTTGTAGCTGGAATAGGGGTGTTGGGTCTGGGTTGTTGAAATCCTGTAGCCCAAGGGTTTTCAGGATCTTGGATGACTGCTAATAGGGGTCATGGAAGGTATTTGTGCTGCTGCTGATGCTGCTCCTCTTCTTCCCTAGGATGCTCTTCAGCCAAGCTCCCAGAGATGGCTTCATTGTTGGCTTCTTCTGGTCAGAAGGATTGTGAGCAGAGGCAGGAATGCTGTAGAGAGGGAGGTCTGGCATGACATTTCATAGGATTATATGGATACATTGAAACTCTTGGTAATGACAGATAGCCCAGATGGTTATTAATTGGTATCCATGGCACAGCTGTATGATCACTAATAAACTAATCAGTACTCTGATAATAGAAGCCAAGAGTTCAAAGAACTCATAAGTGAAGTTTAGATTGGATGGATTAAATGCAGGTGGCATTTAGTTCCTCAGCACAATTGGGCCTGAGAAAGAGAAGCTAGAAGCTTTAAGCTAATTGTTAAGCCCAAACTCCATATGACTGATAACATGTGATAAACTAACAGAACCTTGCACTTTGGGTTATACTGTTAGAGTTCACTGATGCACTATCAGTGTTATATAGTCAAAGTATTGTTGCAAGTTGCTCAAGATAAGATAGTAGAGAATAAACTTTAGCTCGAAGCTGGGGTTACTACAGCGAGAGCTATACTACTTAAATACCATTTTGTTATCTGACTATAAATAGAGATTCACAAAAGACATTGTCTGCTGTAGAGCTGTTTCCCCTACTATTGCCAGGCTCTTCATAAAGGCTGTTATCTTGCTATTGTGCTGTTATCATTATGTTACAGTTATATGACAAAAGGAGTATTGTCTCTCCCTTCACAGCATACAACAGTGCGACAGAACAATGACCAACTGGGTTGCTGACTAAGCCTTCCCACAGTTCTAAGTGCTGGCCTAAGCACTCTGACTAAGTGAAGATAGGGGTCATTTCTGAGAAAAAAGAAAAGAAAATAGAAAAAATCATAACAGATGTAACCAGCTATAACAAGAGCCTTAGAGACTGCCCTCAGATTGATTGCAATGCATGAATAGCTATTATAAATCAGAATACAGATCTTTTAGAAGGTGATAGACTCCAGTCAGATATTTTGAGCTAGATGAGATAAATTGGAATGTATAGGCTATGTATTTGCTGAGAGTAAGTGGTGTAGATTTGAGTGACAATGCATAAATAATGCAAAACCATATATAGTCATATGCTCCTATTGCATAACTCTTTGCTGCTCCAAGCTCAATTGCATGAGCTTAGAGAAAAAGAATATATTTATCAAAAAGAGAAAAAAAAGCTGAGCAAGCAATATGAGGAGCATGCTTGCTCAGCACAGTTAAAAGGACTGTCTTCATCATGCTGATAATAAGTTTCTTGGTAGAGTAAATGTATGAATGCAGTCAATAGAGAATTTATGATGATAGTCATCTAAAAGAGTCAGGAAAGCATATCCACCTGAATATTATTCTTTCTATCGATATGTCAAATATGAATATTAATTCCTGATCTGAGTATAAGGTCTGCTGCTCCAAGTAAGAGTCTATTGTAAAGAGGTTCTGATATAGATAGAGAATCAAATACAGTGACAGAATTGAGGCTGTCAGTAAAAAGCAAGAGGTGTCAAGGAGATTTGAGTAGGGATACTATATAATAAATAATAAAAAAAATAGTGACAAGCTCAAAAAAGAAGATGTCAATTATATTTTTAGATAAAGATGAGTGAAGCTGGTATATAAAACCATTCTCACAAAAACAAATGATAATGCATTTTTTATGCTAGCATCCATCCAGAATAATATGTCAGCTTCTGAGTCAGTTCAGAGAGCTGAGTCAATAAAGCAATGGCCTATAGAATCTGAAAGAATAGATGAAAACTAGAAGAGATCCTCTTTAACAGCAGCATTAATGAAGATCTTTGTGAAAGAGTAAGTCTTTCTAGCCATCTTTTTGTATAAAGAAGAGCAGAATAGCCCTATAGCAGAACATTTAGTACTATAAAGGATGTGCTGATAAATTCAAAAAGCCTTAGTGACATTGCTTTTATATAGAGTGAAATCAGCATGGAGATATTGTATTTTAGCATTGTATAGAGCCTCATCAAATAGATGCATATCATCATATTTGACTTTTGCCTTGCTAGCCAGAATTCCTGCATTTAAACCAGAGAAAGTATGATCCATTATGATACAGAGTTTTTCATCCTGCCAGACTATGAATATAAATGATACTTTTATATTTCATATCTGGTAGGAATGTAAGCCCATCTGGTAGAAGTGATGACCAATGACTAGCTGCAACTTCATGATCATGGAATACTTATATTTTGTTGATATCTTAGAGATCTGTGGCATAATTCTCTGTCTTGTTATAAAGAGAATCTTTCCATTCACTAAGATTGAGAGGCTAGAATCTATTCTGAAGATCATGAATGACTCAGGAGGTGAAGAGTTCATTTGGATGAAACTGAAGAATATTCTTCAAGTGATTAACATTGAATAGTGTGTCAACTATAATAACATCTTTTAAAGTATGTAGTGTAGCCTATAAGAATGGATCATTGAGTAGATGTGAAAGAGAAGAGAGTAAAGGAAAGGCTGATTCAGTAGATTGAGCAGTGAGAGATATAGATACAGATGATATAGAACTATTTGATCAGACATAGTTATATTTAAAATATAGGCTAATATTCTGGTCCTCACATTTGTGTTTTTGAGGCCTTAAAGATCTAGGTCCTGCTGCTGCTGCTATTACCTTCACTATTACCTCTTCCAAATCTAAGTCTCCTTTTTGATTAGAGGAGATTAGTGCATTTGACAGTGTCTCTAGCTCAGTGTCCTAAGCTGCATTCACTATAAGTACCATGCCTATAGTGATTGATATATGAATCTTGGCAGAAATTCAGTTTTCAGTTTTCACATAGAACTGTTGACCTTTTTATAGCAGAGAGTGAAGCAGATGAAAATTCCTTTGTGTCTGAAGAAATCAAAGAAGAGCAAAAGACATATTGCAGCTGAACTTTTTCATCAATATAGATAGCAACTGTGGAGTCATAAGATGCAGTCTGAAAAACTTTGATCACATATTTCTGATAAGCTTTGAGTTCAGCCTTACAGTGTGGATAAAGAACCTGAACACCTCTAGTCCAGACATCATATACTCTGCATCAGTCAGATTCTGATCTGAAAAGCTTTTTGGCAGATAAAATATCTTTCCTGATAATAGCATATTCTGCTATAAGCTCTTTTGTCTTCTCATTGTGATCATATCCTCAGTTCATTGAAGCAAAAAGTTTTGAAAAGTCAACATATTGGTCCTGAATGATGAGTCACCAGAATAGTTGAGCAATGGATTCAGAGAGAGACTGAGCTTAAAAAACTATGATGAGATTGTGAAGTGACTTTTTGGTGGCATAAACTTATCTGAGTTAGAATGACTCAACAAGATAAAGATCTAAGATGAGGTGCTTAAGCAAGAACAATCAGAGAAATAGAAGCTTTTCTTAGTGAGACAGTATCAAGCCCCAGAATGCCAGTGAAAACTATAGCAATAGAGCTCTAGAGATTATTTGTACTAGATATGTTAAATCTAACTGGTATGTGACCTGAACATATGATAAACTAGCATTGTATCATGTTTGTACAGTCATACTAGAGTTCACTAAATATGTTCTGATAGGTAAAGTGCTTCAAGGCTAGAGACAGACTAGGCTCAAGAGAAGATAGTATGAGATAAACTTATAGCTTGAAGCTAGGCTACTACAGTGAGAGCTATCTTATTTATATACTGTTCAGCTTATAATAAATATAACTATTGTCTATTGTACTGTTTTGTGCTAAGATACTGGTTCTGTCTGGTCATTAGGAGTAAAACAATAGGAACTTGTCTGTGGGTGAGATGACTGAGTATAATGGCACTCTATATATTGTGATTACTTAATATTCTCATGCTCTTCAAGAAAGTGCTCAAGAGAAGATAGGCACTCTGATAAAATAAGATAAAATAAGATAAAAAAAGATATAGAGAAAATCATAATATCACTTCTTCTTTAAGACTATTATCTCAATGGATCAATTAATGGAAATTTTATAGTCATGAATGGCATTGTCTGCATTCAGATCCTCTTTATAGACCCATTAGTTGGATTCAGATCTATAGTCTTTCTATTTGATGAAATAGTAGGTGACAGTATGATTGCCATCTCTCTGGACATGAACTTTGCAGAGTTTATAATCCAAAATCTATTTGACTTTATAGTGTTTCTCATCTTTGATTAGAATTGATTCAGAAGGAGGTGGAGTTTCTTGATTAGGAAAGGCAGACATGATGTAAGGGATGAGAAGGGTTTTGTTAAAGACTGAGTGTATGCACTAGATGCCAGGCAGCTTTAGGCAGTATACAGAAGCACCAACTTTTGCAAGTATAGAAAAGAGTCCAGTTTGTTTATCAGCAAGTTTGCATTTTAGGCATGAAAGATGAAGGTTGCTGGTATCCAGCCAGACTTTATCATTGATAGAGTATTCATGAGCAGGTCACTGGTGTTTATCATATTGTGCCTTCATAATAGTGGCAGCCTTTTTAAGAGTGATGTGTATTTTAGCATGAATTGTAGTCATGAGTTATGTGAAGTTGGTTGAAACAGAAGTTGTAGTGTTATATCAGTTAGTGACTATAACATGGAGATGATGTTCATGATTAATGAAGAAGAGAGTCTTGTTTGTTGCAGAGTGAACATAGTTGTTGTATTGGAATGCTGCTAGAGCAAGCCATTTGGTCTAATCATTTTGTCTGTGATTGATGAACATTCAAAGATACTTTTTGATTCCTTGATTAACATGCTCAGTTTGCCTATCAGTTTGTGAGTGATAAGTGGTTGAAGCATTGCTTCAGATGTTAAAAAGATGATAGAGATCATTGATGAGTCTCTAGACTTTGTGTGCTCTAAAATTATGAGCCTCAATAATTATTTTTGACTTCTGTCCTTAAGCAGGCTTTTAGTAAACCAATCATTTGGGGTTCAATGGCAGTAATTTTGTCAAGAACTATCCATTATTCATTGATATTCCCTTGTGCATGAAGATTGTATGTTATACATGAACTTTCCTTTTGTCTGCAAACTTTTCTTGTCCTTGCAAACTTTTCTCATTAATCTTTATGACATGTGAACTTTTAATTCTAATAAGCACTATAGACCAGGCCAAAAACTACAATCCTTGATCATATAAGACATATATCATTGTTAGTATATATATAGCACTTTAATATAGTCTATAAAGTCTATCACAATATATATATAAAGCTAGCTATAGATGTTTAAGCTTTTTACAGCTAGCATATAGAAGAGTAATAGGCCACAAAGGACTAACTCTGTGTTTAGTTAGATATATAAAGAATATTAGAAGGACTAGTGTACTATTAGCTACATAAACTTTTAAATATGCAATATTTATTAAAAGCTTCACAGCCTTTAAGACTTTGTGTAATAAAAACTTCATTAGGCTCACTAAGCTAGTACTGCAGTTACAAAGGCTGTTTAAATGTAGCATACTTAGTATTAGTAAAAGGATAGTATAAGTAGTGTATAAGATAACACATAAAAAGGAGAATAAGCAATACTGAGACTACTGGACATCTATACTAAAACTGTATACCAGTATGACACCCCTCCAATAGAATTAGCTATACAGACCACTTATAGGTCAATACCCTTTGACTGAGAGTGCTTGTTAGAAACATGCCAATTGAGTGGGCTTGAGTGCATGCATGGAGTCCAATAGAGTGTGTGGGCATTGATGAAGCTATTGGCAACATCACCCTTGAGTCAGAGCCCAAGGATCTGGATGAACTGAACAGAGTTTCATTAGAGAAGTGAACCAGAATGTCCTTTGGAGTGAAATCCAATGGACAAGGTAAGGAGGAGTGGAAGTGAGTGCGAAGTGTAGCTGGCTTATCTAAGTTGATATTTGAACTGAGTAGTTATGATGATGTACATGGCTTTATATACTAATAGTAGCTAATTCTGAGTTAGGTTCTATTGGGTTTCAGTGTCAGTATTCACTATCGAGTTCAGGGTCTAGATATTACAATGTAAAATACAGATGTGAAATGATAATGGTGAAATGAAATTAGTAGGTAATGGGAAGTGGCCAGAGTCTGGTGGGTAGTGTGATTGGATTCATGGTTGGTTGAGGTGACATAGAGGCTGGTGGCATGCACATAACAGTATCCCCCCCTTAGCATTCTTGCCCTCAAGTGTGCAGATCCTGATGGCTGGTGGGGCCACATAGAAGATTGTTAGTGGCTATAGGAGTTTTGCAGCTTGAACTGAAACCACCATCTTCATCTATGTCATCGCTCACCATGTATCATCACTCACACTCTCTCAAGCCTCTGGTGAGGGGATTCACTCCTGATGGCCTTGAAGAGGCCAAGGAATTGTTTCATCTGGAATGGCAATCTGTGGAGGAAGAATATGCAGAGGCCATAGAGAGCCATTTGGAATGGCAAGAGGAGTGGGAGCAGGAGAAAAGGGCCTGGGCAGACTATGTGACCCAGGAGTCACAGAAAAAGAAGTAGAGGGAGGAATTGGAGAGGAAGAGGGAGGAGGTTCAGCAGGCCATGGAGAGGCAAGTGAAGGAGGCAGAGGAAGTGTTGAGAGAGATGGCTTGGAGGGAGGCTGAGAAGAGAGAGGCTACAGAGGCAGCAGCAAGGGTTGAGGCTGAGGAGATAGAGCCAGAGGGGATGGTTACAGAGGATGGGTTGCAAATGACCTTCATGGAGGCCATTGATTTCTGGCTGCATCAAGTGTTGGTGGAATGGTTTGGTCCTGGTCTTGGTCTTCACTTTAAGAAAGTGACTTGCCATGCATCTCCAGGGTCCAATGATAAGCAGGATAAGGGGACTGAGGGAGACAATGAGTCTGAGGAATCTGAGAGGACTCTAGAGAGAAGGAAGAGGGTGTGGGAGGGAAAGAGAAGGGCAGCAGGTCTGGCAGAGAAGGGCCATAAATGCAAGTTCAGGTTGAAGAGCATAGTGGATGGCAGTGGGACAGAGGTGGTTGTTAGCTCCAAAAAGCAGGTGAAGTTGGAAGTGGTAGGACTGGCAGAGAGCAAAGAATTATTGGATAGTGAAAGTAAGTGTCTTAGTTTTCTTTCATGGCTTAACTTAGCTTTTGTTTTCAGAGAGTTGTGTGCATTGTCATCAAGATAGCATATAGTGTTATGCACAACTG